TCTATTTCAACTATCGTACAGGTAAGTCCTTTGTAGATATTAAACAGTTCTAAAAGAAGTTAGCTTGTATTCATTTTTAAGCTTATTTTCATTATGGCAAGATGAAGTGCATATGTGTGTGTGCGTGTGGGTGTTTCCGTCATAGGTGTGTATGTTTGTGTTAGTATGTGTTACATGATGTAGGTGTGCATGTGCATTTTTGTATTTGTGTGTATATTTGTATTTATATGAATCTTAATGTCCGTATGTGTATGTTCGTATGTTTGTATGCTAGTTAACTTGCTAGTTCATTTGCATACTTTCGCGTATGTCTGCTTGTGTGTGTCCCGCATGCGTTGGCCGGTATGTGTCTGCATGTGCTTGTTGCTTTTTCTGACTTTCCGGCATTCAGGAAGCAGCCATTTGATTAAATGTTCAAAGTAAAAGTCAAAATCTCTTCCAAATTTCACTGTTTGTGAAACTAGTGGAACTAGTGCTCGAGTAGTAGTAAAATTACATTGCAGACGAAAGTATCGGTGTATGTTTGTCTAATTGTTGTTGCAAGCTACTCTTATAATTATTATTTATTGCTGTGGCGCAGCAAAGCCTATCGAGGAATATTTCTACGGCAGATTACTTTAACAGCAACTACTTCCGATGAACCAGCAAATCAGCCCAACAAACAAATCTGCGTCTTACGGAACAACTGGATTGAGTGATTTTATAGAAGTATGATGTATACCAAATTTTCAGAACTTATGGCATTTTTTTATCAGAATTGTTAGCGAGAGCTTTTTGGAAAAAATTGGCAAAGTGCACTGGAGTTGCAACACGGACAGAATATTTGAATGTCTGAATTATTACACTGAAGATTACAGTCTTTCTCCTTCCTTCCTCTTCGTCTTCCATCTAACCTGCCGTCTTCTTCTTCCATTATTAGGCTAGTAGCTAGCCACTCCTATCCATCAAAACACCACCGTAAAGACTGTTTATCAATATTGCCTAATAATATTCTTTTTATCATCCTGACCTTATTTCTGGTCTCATTCCAGCTCTATTTTTATTTCTGCTTTTATAAACAATTCAGTTACAGTTTTGCAAATGCAGTCATTCGTTTTCGTTTGGTTTCTTGAACACCACATGTGAAAAAATGCTTAACATTTTTCCAGTTCTTTGAAATTAATTAAAAATATTTAGCACAAATTTTCTTGTTGTTATTGTTGACATGTTATTTTTTTTTGTTCGTATAAAGCAAATGTGCCTGCAATGGTGTAGACATACAGAAATGCTTTAATAATAGCTTT